CATTTCTAGCTGATAAGGGAATCTTGCAGCTCATATCTTGCCCTTATACTTCTCAACAGAACGGAGTGGCAGAAAGGAAACATAGACATATTTTGGAAACTGCAATCACTCTTCTTAGTGCTTCTGGTTTATCTTCTGAGTTATGGTACTTTGCTTGTGCGCATTCAGTTCTGTTAATCAATAACATGCCTTGCAAAAGTTTGTCTTTCAGTTCTCCATACTTGACTTTGTACAATAAGGTACCTGATATACAATCTCTTAAGATTTTTGGCTCTGCTGTATTCCCATGGCTGAGACCCTACAACATTAATAAGTTACAACCACGCTCAGTGATGTGTGCATTCTTGGGCTATTCACAGGGGTACAAAGGAGTGATTTGTTATAACTTACAGACCAAGAAGTTTATCCTTTCTAGACATGTCTGTTTTGATGAATCTTTATTTCCTGCGAAAATGGTTCAACACACAAGTCCTGCACGGGTGGATAGACATGAGGAACATGCACAACCAAGGGATATACTTGTTATTGTCTCTATACCAGTGTCACATGCAAGGAGATCTATGGCTTCTACAGAATCACAGAACTCTTTATCTCAATCAGGCACATATATACTTTCTCCACATACTACTACATCAGAAGACCATGTCTCAACAGCATTAGAAAATCAGGGGTCTGGAACACCTTATGCTCATTCCTCTTCACCGAACACTACTCATTTGCTTCCTGTCATTGATCCTGCACAACTCCAGGTAGTTCTTCCTTTTACCTCACCTTCACATCCTAATAATTTAGTCATCACAGATGTCAATCAGAATTGTATCCAAACCAAGTTAAAAACTGGTACCATTGTTAAGAAGAGTTATGTGGGATATCTTGCCTCTCTACCTCAGTTGCATTCCTTACATCTTGATGAGTTATTCTCTGCTGATTTCTCTACCAACTTCAGTACAAATTTGTCTGAGGGTTTTTCGTTTCTTGCTGACATCACAGATGGGGAAGAACCTAGAAATTTTAAAGCTGCATCATTGAAACCAGAATGGCAACTTGCCATGCAAGAGGAATTTAATGCACTGAAAACTCAAGGCACTTGGATACTTGTTCCACCTCCATCCCATCGATCTATTATTGGAAGTAACTGGGTGTATAAGGTCAAGAAAAATCCCGATGGGAGCATATCTAGGTTCAAAGCCCGGTTGGTGGCACATGGGTACTCTCAGGAGCACGGCTTGGATTACTCAGAGACATTCAGTCTAGTGGTTAGACATACCACTGTAAGACTTATCTTAGCCTTAGCAGCTCAGTTCAGTTGGCAATTAAGGCAACTTGATATCAAAAAAGCTTTTCTTCATGGAGACTTGGAAGAAGAGGTTTATATGAAACAACCACAAGGGTTTGTGGATGCTACATGTCCTGATCATGTCTGCAAATTGGTCAAATCCCTTTATGGGTTAAAACAGGCTCCTCGAGCTTGGAATTCGAAATTTACTAGCTTTCTTCCTGCTATTGGATTTCAATCCTCTCTTTCAGATAGTAGTCTATTTGTCAAAATTGATGGTGGAGACATAATCCTTTTATTGTTGTATGTTGATGACATAATTCTCACTGGTTCAAACTCAGTTAAACTACAGTCTGTAATCGATGATCTTGCTGGTGTGTTTGATCTCAAAGATATAGGACGGTTAACCTACTTTTTGGGGTTGCATATACAGTATCGAGATGACGGTTCCTTGTTTATATCACAGACTAAATATGCTAAGGATGTGTTACAAAAGGCAGGCATGGAGACCTGCAAGTTTACTTCAACACCATCTAAGCCTCATACTCAAATTCTTGCTGGTGAAGGAACAATGTTATCAGATCCGAGTCCCTATAGAAGTATAGTTGGGGCTCTTCAATACCTAACTTTTATTCGGCCTGATATAGCCCATTCAGTGAACATGGTTTGTCAATTCATGGCACAACCAATTGATTTACATATGTTTCTGGTCAAAAGAATCTTGAGATATATACAAGGCACTATTGGCTATGGCTTACAGTATACAAAAAGCAAGGACTTCAATATAACTGCTTATTCTGACTCAGATTGGGCAGCCGATATCAACACCAGAAGATCCATTACAGGTTTTGTTGTGTATCTTGGGACAAATCCAATTTCTTGGCAGTCTAAAAAGCAATCCACAGTCTCTAGAAGCTCTACAGAGGCAGAGTACAAGGCATTGGCACACTGTGCGGCTGATGTGTTTTGGATCCGCTCCGTATTTAAGGATATTCATCAATCTATATCAGTCCCACCATCCTTATACTGTGATAACCTCTCAGCATTGGCTTTAAGCTCAAATCCGGTTTTTCACTCCAAGATCAAACACCTTGACACTGATTATCACTTTGTGCGTGAGAAGGTCCAGAAAGGAGATCTTATGGTTCACTATATTCCGACAGAGGATTAGGTCGTTGATGTATTCACCAAGGGATTGCATAGTCCAATATTTTAAAAACATTGCAGAACCCTTGGCTTGGGAGTTGGTTCTGCAACAAACTCAGCTTCGGTAGCTCAGCTCAGTTTGAGGGGGGAGTAATAACCATATAGTCATACTGATTCATGTAACTATATTGGTTAATCAATTGGTTTGAGTTAGTTAAAAGAAAGTTGTTAGAAAGGGTAATTGAGTCATTCTGTATTGAAACGTTAGCTATTATAAATAGCTGTTGTAACTGACATTTGGGATATATTGCATTTCATATGTTCTTCAGAATATACAGAGCTTTCTTCTTCTTCTTTTCATCATTCTTTATGCTATTGTTCTATAATATTAGTATGTCATAATATTCTAGGTTAATAGTATTTGGGCTGTGTTGAGTTTGTTTCCATATAGGAGTTGTTGGTAATTACTCCAGCTCTTAAGGTACACTACCATTCATTTGTAAATTTGTGTATAATTGTATAATTTCTTAACTTTTATGACCTCCAAAAGAAGCTTACTTCTTTTCTGACCTAAAAAGAAATTTACTTGCTTTCAAGGTTGTGTTGTGTTGAATTCATATTAATGTCTTGCAGGCTGGCTGTTGAGGCTAACCTTCCTTCGGTGCAGCTAACTGCGCTAGAAAATATGCACTATAGTAACATGATAAGATTTGACAATGTCGTATAGGCCAGGTAATTTGTGCGAGCCCCTTACCCAAATAGGGTGAAGTGGAGTTCTTGATATGGAAAATAATTATCGAGTGGTTTATGTATTAGATTTTTTGTTGCATCATTATTTGGATGGAGTTTTCTTTAAGTTTTTTCTTTTTAAAGGTAGATAACTCTTTGCAGGAGATTGCAGCTTCGTATTGAAGAATTGAAGAAATCAGATCATAAAGATCTTGAAAAAGAGAATGTGTCAGAGGATCGCTGCTCTGAATCTGATACAGAAGGGAGTGGTCATCTGTCTGATCGCAACGTATAATGCATGCTGTTCTTCAGAGATTAGAAAATCTAGTTCCAGCAGATCAGTCTTTATCCAGTGTGGAAAAGTTAAACGATGATGAACCTTTAATTTCTCTCAAATGTTCCACCAAAGCTTCAGTCAAGGTGAAATCCACTCCTTTAGGAAAACAAAATATCACCTTCCAGACTAATGTTTCATCAAAAATTTGTCTAAGACAAATACCAATGAGCAGACAGTCATTGCGCATAAACGCATTCGTGTAGTCCTTTCTGATGATGAAGATGAAATGCAAGATGAGGTACTGCTCAAAAAGTTTTATCCTTAAAGAGTTTGGCACCATTGTGTTTTACTGCTCTCTCTCTCTCTCTCTCTCTCTCTCTCTCTTTCTCTCTCTCATGTTAAAATCTGTTTTCTTCAAAACTTCTTGTGATCGTACTGCATTTTCAGGGCTGCTTCCAATAATAAAGAATATAAAATGGGGTGAGAGTTATAGAATCCCTGGAAACATTTGAAACGCTTAAGCAGCATATGGGAAAAGCCTTGGTTGAAGCTCTCATTGATGGTATGTACTCCAACAGTTTGAAGCTCATTTCATATGCTCTAATCTTCATTTAAATGACTTGTCTATTTGAACTTTTCTTTTATTTTACTATGTACTATGTTCTATTTAGTGAAAAAAAGTTTGGTTGTTGTTATTGTTGTTGTACTATGTCCTATTCTGTTTTATTGGAAATGTGACTCTCATTCAAAATACAGGACGACATTTAAGATTTAACTGATTGAAGGCACTATTCAACAACAACAACAAAACTTTTTTCCACTAAGTTGTGTCGGTTATATGAATCATAAAACGTCATTATCACCCAATTACATCACATATGGCTGGCCACTCTCCACCAATAGGGCTAGCCACCCTCCTATAAATACTCATTTTCATCCAACTAGAATGCTAAGTCATTTGTTACTAACAAACTCCTAAACACAATCTTTTTAGAATTCTAATTTTATCATAGGAGATTTTTTGGTCATAGCCTCCTCATTCATCGTGAGCTCGTGAGGTTTTTTATCTTAATCTTAGGTATTATTATTTTGCATTTTCATCAAAGAAAAAAATGACGAAAATTTACATCCACACTACCTGTACTAGAAAAATAATACAAATATATAATAAATATAGCATTACTCCTTGCGATTAAGAAAATTTGTTATCCCTCCGTAAAATGTTGTCCAAAAAGTGGCTCTCCATGTAATTTTACTGTTTTATACTGGCATTTTCTTTACATCTGTGCAATGATAAATAAAATTAAAATATTTTCTCCTTTTGGTGGTACCTTTCATTGACTCCATCATCCCTTGACTAGTTGCATAGCTTCTGGAGTTTGACTCCGTCCTCACTTGACTTTGGCACATATTGTCCATACCAGAAATAATATTAAACTTGTACGTGGCTTCTTCGGATTGGCCGGTGTACAAGAAATTCAAATATCATTTTTTGGTCGAAATTCAAATATGAACGACGGAAAAATGAGAAAAGAAACATAGCGAAAAAAAGAGAGGCTACTGTTTCGTATAATTGAAATGTGAATAATTCAAAGGGCCTACATTTCAAGATTTGGAAGTTGGAACAAATTATATATTAAAACGAAACAAGAGACCTGACTCCTATTCCTTGTACTAATTCCCCATTCCATCTGGTGCTCCAATCTCTTTGCTGAGATTTTTCCTCCAACATCCATCATGCATTTCTTTCTGCTCCAATCGTTGTTTCCATTTCTTTTGATCGCTTCCTTCCTTTCGATCAACGTCGAGTTAAGTCTATGCCAGAATCAACAATTCACAAACTGCAGCAGCAATATCACTTGTGGTAGCGTCGGAGGCATATCCTATCCCTTTTGGGGGGTAAACCGAGCTAGTTACTGTGGTCAACCCGGATTTGAGGTCCAATGCCTAAACAACTTCCCTGTGTTCAACATGAAGGGTGCGAGCTATAGAATTCTCCAAATGAACACTACAAATTCTCGGACCGTTAAGGTCGCTAGGAACGATTACTGGGGTACTATTTGTCCTCAGACTTTTGTCAACACCACCCTCAACTTCTCTCTGTTTGATTATGTTTCTGGTTATAGAAACATGACGTTTTACTACCAATGCTTTGCCGCCATAACGCTTCCTAGTCCGCAGTCCTGCAACATAAGCAATACAGTGAACCCTGTTTACTATGTGACACAACCGGTGACAGTTGGTCAGGCATATTCTGTGAGCTGTACACATGAGGTTATTGTTCCCGTTTATGAAGAAGCTGCTCTTGCTATAGAGGCCGCCACTGTGCGCAGTCAAACAATTGTCACCGATGCGGTAGAGGGGGGTTTCTCACTGCAATTGGAGATTGACAACGATGAATGCGACAAATGTTTGGGATCAGGTGGACAGTGTGGGCTTGACAATACTACTAATTCTGGATTCCGTTGCTTCTGCGCAGATCGAGCCTATGCATCCACATGTAATGGAACTAGTACTTCAAGTCAAGGCGGAGGTACGTCTGTCCCTTGTCATTCCCTTATAAATTACACATATGGAACTCCTAGCTTGCTCTTTGTTTTAGATGATTAGTCGTAAAATGTGAGCTATCTGATCCCATGCTAAAATTAGGAAGCAGCGGGAAGGAATCTAAACTGAGATCCCCTCTCGCATCTCTGCCCTGCTTCTCCCCTCTCATCTACCATTTACAAACCTATATCCCGCAAAAATCGAAACAAAAAAGGCAAAAAAGGCAAATAATTCTACAATCTTTCCATTTTCATAACCAGATCCAAACCCAAAATTTGAAACAAAAAAGCAAAAGGAAAATTACAAAATCGCTGTGCGTTTCATTACTCACAGCAGTTGCCAAATCACACATGCACAACAGTCTATCTAATCACCCATGCACTCCAGACTCCCTGATCGCAAACCTTCGCCGTTGATGCCGGAGAAGCAGGCCCGATGAATACCCAGATTACCCAGACTCTGATCTGGGTTCTGATTTGCCAATTGGGCCCTAAAAAATTAGAAAAAAAAAAGGGGAGATGAACGGAGAAAAATAGGAAGAAAATGATGGAGATGAAGAGTTAGAGGGACGAAGAAAAAAAAGGGATTAGGATGGAGAAAAATTGGGAAGAAACAGAGGGAGAGGAGAGAAATAGAGGGCGAGGAAAGAGCACTATTACGAAGGATGAGGGAGATGAACGGAAAAGAAGCGGGAAATTTGGAAAAGTAATCATATTTTAAACTTCATATAGAATTATAGCCATCATTTTAATTTTATGATAATTCTAACCAAAACTTAATGTAAAAGTACTAATATACCCTTAATGAAAATTTGGAAAAGTAACCATATTTTAGATCACATATAGAATTATAGCCATCATTTTAGTTTTATGATAATTCTAACCAAAACTTGATGTTAAGATCTTGAAACATAAAAGAGGTAGCCTCCTCAATACTACCCAATACCCCTATTCTCGAACCCTCCATTTCCTATGCTTTTTTTATTTTTATTTTTTATATATATAGATATAGATATAGATATTCAAATGTAATCAGAGAAAGTGAGATTTGAAGATAACCTAGTAAACATAAAAATTAATTAGGAATTGAATCTCCGAAGCAAAATTTGAATCTAAAAATAGAGGAGCAAAAAGCCTTTTAAGCTAAAATCTGTGTGAGGTTTTTTTGCTAAACTGGTGATTGAAAATATAAAAGTTGATAATGTGATAAATCCCTGAATAATATAAAAGCCAATAATGTGATAAATCCCGGATAATATAAAGCCCAATAATGTAATAAATCCCAAAGAAAAACATTCACATCATGTGTTGGAATGAAGTCTAATTGGATTCTTGCAAGTTTGGCGATTGTGGCCTGTCCCACCCAGCGATTGCACTTCTTCACTATCATTTCCTCTCCCTGAGATGGGATTCTGTTTGTCTTGCGTCTTCCAGATACAACTTGTCTGATTGGAGGTAACACAACTCTATTATGCACCTCTTCTGGCACACTCCATTCACTCTTGTTTCCAACCGGCCAAATGGGCTCCGCATATGCTAGCACAATTGCATTGGCTGTGTAGAATTTGGAGCACATAGTGTACATTGATGTGTTGCGAATTCGACATGCAGCAGTTGCATGGACACATGGAAGCTGGTCGAGATCAAACCTTCTACACGTGTATGACTTGGCATTTAGATCAACTATATGATATAACTCTGCCTCATGTACTTGCAATGCATAGTGATTAATGGAAGATACTTGCATAGTTGACAAGTAACAACCAACAACAAGAGACCAATTAATCATAATTATCATATTCTTTTATCAACCTGTTTATTTGTTTGAAACATTTTAACTATGTTTTTTGGTTAACAAAATATGTGCACTAACCACATAGATTTGGCCGTCATCCAACTCACTTAACCATGAAATATTACATGCTTCAAGGCCACAACTGATTAAATAAAAAGTTAAGAAGAGTGAAAATAGCTTTTTTGTTGGTTCCTTTTTTTTTTTCCTTCGTCTGTTCTTGGTATGGATTCTATGTAAATTTAGGTGTCCAGTGTGCATTAGGAATGTGAGAGTGCATAAAAATGTAAACAAATCATACATACCGACATACGCAAGCCTCTATTTTGATTCTTGTGCACTTTTTCCTCTACCCACTTTGTCAAGGTCGAATTCCATGAACTTGCTATGTTCCGACGTTCGTTGAACCACTCTTGTAGTATACCTCTAAGGTGATCCGCTAGAGCAATGATAGGCAACTTTCGAGCATCCTTCAGTTTTGCATTCATGGATTCGGCAATGTTGGTTGTCATCATGTTTTATCGTTTTCCACTGAAATGTGCCCGAGCCCATCTATGATACCTAATTTCTTGAAGATATTTTCCTACTTTTTCATCTTTGATTGCCCAAATATCAGTCATAACACTATTAAACTCTGACACAAGGTATGTTTTGCCGCAGTGTAATATAACTTAAACATCGTTTCATCATCACCAAATTTATTCCTCATGTTGCCAGCTACATGATACATACAAGCTCCATGATATGCCTCTGGAAACACAGTTTGTACAACTTTACCAATACTTCCATGTCGATCAGATACAAACACCAAGTCTGCTACCTCTCCAATGGCACTTCTCAATTTTGTAAGAAACCATGTCCATGAAGCGTCATTTTCTAAGTCACCCACACCAAATGCTAAAAGATATATTTGATTTTGTCCATCATGGCATACAACTACAAATAAGGTGCCAAGATATTTACCCTTTAGAAAAGTCCCATCAACTGCTACCACAGGCCTCATAGAACCACGAAATCCCCTTATAGAGGCTCCCATTGCCATGAAAAAGTATAAAAAGTGATTATTGTCATCTGTTTCTATATGTGTTATTGTCCCAGGGTTTTTATTTTCTAACATGGTACAATAGGCAGGAAGTGCGGCAAAAGATTCCTCTGGCGACCCTCGGATCATGTCAAATGCGTGCTCTCTTGCTCTCCAAGCTTTCTCGTAGCTCATATTAACCCCAACTTGTGCTCGCATATCCTCAATGATGTCTTTAGGTCTATATACACGTGATGCCCCCTCATTCTTTGACTTTATAAATTGGCCAACAACAGAACTACTTGCTTACTGATGATCACGTTGAACAACATCTAATGAACAAGAATGATTAGTTTCAAATTTTCTTACTTCAAAAAATTCTGACACTTGTAACTTGGTTGCACGAAGTCGCCACTCGCAATTATCATCCACACATCTAATTTCCAAATGATCCTTAGTTGATCTTTCCACTTTAAATTCATAATTCTTCCTCATTGCAATCATAGCTAATTGTTTTTGCAACTCTTTCTTACTCGAGTACAATTGTCCGACCATAATATCTCCATCTATATTCAAATCTGCAATATTATCATAGTCTTGTATGCTTTTACGCTTGTTACGACGAGACGACGATAGATTGAAATTGACATCGTTTGACTGCACATTGTCGAAATGGGTACTGTCATGATAGTCATCAGTAAACTCAAAACTCACATCTATTGAAGCCTCACTAATCTGGGCATTGTCTTGAAGAACTTGACTTGGTTGTTCATCACCCAAAATGTCATCATTCTCTTGAATTCCCACTGTTGGTGATGGGGAACTGCATGCAATTGGGTGTTCATCTTCAAGTTCATTTAGAGGATATGTTGTAACATATAACGGAATCTTGTTCGGTTTTGCAGAAAGACTTTCACATACCCAACTAGTCACATCGTCGTTGTCTACAATCTCCATCATAGTTTGTATCCCTAAGTTGCTAATGCATTGATAATGTATTGAGATTCTAAATTCACTTGGACTAACATGAAGACGTTTATATATACCTTGGATAAGATCTGGATGAGTAACTTCGGTTGACACTACCATTGCTTTCGCTTGACCATCTGTGTATTGGCTATCAACCCTCCTCCATCCGTAATGGACCACGGTCACAAATTGAGTCATTTTCTGAAGGAAAAAAAAATTAATTAGCGCATCTAACTAACCTGCAAATATATTAAAATTAGGAAAAAGTTATAGAAAAAATTAATTAGCACATATATAACTAACCTGGGTTTTGGGTTTAGGGTTTCAGTGGTGAAAAATGGACACCTCCTTGCAGCAAACCCCAAAACCTTAAAATTCAACGGCAAGCAAAAGCTCCTGATTTTCCAATGCTTTACCAAAGCTTTACCGATGCTTCCATGGACACCTCTCTTCTCGTGATTTTCTTCCTGTTTTTCTTTCGCTGTTCTTTTTTTTTTTTTGTCAAAATTCAACGCCAAGCAAACCCCAAATTGTTAATCTCTCGCTGTTCTTTTTTTTTTTTGTCAAAATCTCTTCCTGTTTTTCATTCTTGGTTGACTGATGTTGATTAGGTTTTGTTTTTGTTGTGAGAAACCCTAATATTAAGGGTATATTAGTACTTTTACATCAAGTTTTGGTTAGAATTATCATAAAATTAAAATGGTGGCTATAATTCTATATGAGGTCTAAAATATGGTTACTTTTCCAAATTTCCCAAAAGAAGCAGTAGGGGACTAACGAGGTTTCTAGAATGGGAAAAAATGAATAAAAGTAAGAATAAAATATTAATAAATATTAATAAAATATTATTAATAATTAATATAATATTAGATTTTGTTATCATTATATTGTTTAGTCCAATACTACACCAAACGCTTCATTAATTCAATCTAGTTTAAACTAGTCTAACTTAATCATTGAAATTAGTCAAGTCCGAGATAATCTATTACAACAAACCCACCCCTAAAGATTGTTCATGTTTTGGTCAGCGTGGGTTGATGTATAACTGCTCTCTCCCATCATGTAGCAACGGTAATATTCCCTCTCATTTTTGTGTGAGCTGATGAATGAATCACCGTCGCATTTTCTTCTCTGATTGTCTCTGCAATTTTTTTCCATTCCCAGAATTCCAAAACATAAACTCTAACAGTTTGAGCCTTTGTTGG